GCGGGTAGCCCGAAGTCATCGCATTTGAATCTATGTGGCCACAAGGGGATTTTGATTCCTCCTTGGGTTTGAACTTGGGACCTCCAGACACTTTTGACCTCCAGACACTTTTGACCTTTGAAGCCCAAGCTCAAACCAATCAAGCACCACCCTTGTGGTTTAAACGCAATATTATAGTCCAAAATTTTGGGTGTTACATAATTCATTACACTTTTGGTCTAACATTCACTTTTATAAAATTGAAGAACTTTTTAGCAAGGTTCCAAGTAGAAAGTACTAGCAAAAGGAAAGGGAAGGTGTGATTCGCAAGGCATGGATTATAGGTGTTATCTTATTAGCTAGATAGTCGCCTTAAACTTTATTGGGGCTGTCTGGAAAATCTCGGCAATAGTATTTTATCATCTGATGCAACTCATGAGATGAAATTGTGAATGTTGACCTTTTTACAAAATTGGTATTGTCAGCTTGGCTTTATGATTATATTATGTCTCAATTTAGTTTATGGTTGTTACAAGTGGTATCAAAGCTATAGTTAAAAGATTTAGGTGTTTCAGAGTACTTACACTAAAACTTGAGGAGTGTTGGGCTGAGATTAGAAGTGGGAGTTGCGGTGAAATATAATCAGTGGTAGTTATGCTAGGGTAAAGAGGACCATTATACAAGATAAATTCAGAATCACATTTGGCCAATGTCATTGTGAATTTATAGGTACGTGTGTGTGCTTGCATACCTTGTTATGATTAAACTAATTATGGACTTTTTCATTGTATAATCTCAAAAGCAAGAAGTATGCATCTCCTGTCAGGGAGGATTGCTTTGGTGACACTTGGTTGAGCAAAACCACCTATTGGGGTAGCGCATATTGAACCGTTTGTACTCAATGGTAAAATTGATTCACGTTACTGTAGGAGAGGTAGAGGTCGGGAACTTTAAGGAACTGAAGTCCAATCTGATATCCCCGGAAGTAGAGCTCATGGACAAGGACAGGGTCATGGAAGTGGGCATTTTATGATACTAGAGTCTCCGGTTAAGCTAGTTGGGTCGAACCAAGGGAGTTCAGTCAATAGTAGAGGTGTGGATTGTGCTAAGGGTTGACGGTGAGATCAAATCAAATATTTGTGACTAAGGAGGATTTGGCTATCAATATTGGAAAGTTACAGGCTACCTTGCCGACCTTGACGGATCACTGTCGGTAATCGAAATGACAAGCCCCGATGAATAAGAAATGGATGAGGGGCCCAAAGAAAGTAACCCACCTTCTAATGAGCCAGGTAGTCAGTCTAGAATGACCCCTCCAATGGCAGTTGGCCCTACTTTGGAATCTAAAGGGTCCAATAATAAAATGTTTTCTGTCTTGCAAACCACCTATTTACAAAGGCGAGCATGACCCTGTGTTAGCTGTGCATTGGGTGTGAGAAATAGAAGGAATCTTTGACACTAACAAGTATATGGAGGAGTGGCGCTCAGGATGCAGAGCTAGAAGAAGAATTCATACGTTTTGGAGATTTGTCGATGTTAAATCTTATATTGCCATTATAGGTATCAAGTATTGACATTTAAAAAATAATTTATTCCTTATTTGATGTTTTATCAAAATTTTCCATATTAGATGTTCCAAAAAATTTTCCACAACATCATGACAATAAAATGGTGGCATGTACCACCGTATGTACCTTACTAGGTCCATCCATGCCATATTCATTATGCAAAAACATTCATCTTCTTACTCATGAGACTATAGCTTTTTTTTTTCAAACATATAATTTTTGTATACATATTCATCTTTGGTGAAATTTAAACTTTAGATTTGGAATATCATCAAATGAATACATATTTGTTTAAAAATGTAAAATGACATATTTGGAGTTTAAAAAGTCAAAATTGACTCTAAAAGGAATAAAACTTGAAAAAGAAAGTGGGGGACCCACCAGCAGCTGAACCTCAAACTACTAAACGAGACAGGGATGGAAGATGTGTGTAATTAATTTCATTCAGGAACAAACAAAAACTGCAAATACTTTTTTGTATTTACGAAAGCAAAAGTTAATTGGATTAAATTAAATTAAATAAATAAAAAAGTAAAACGAGTAGCAGTATTTCAGGCTGCTGTGACTCTGTTTTATTGACTTTAGACCACCAACAACAAGACAAAAATGAACCCCACCACTCTATGATGCCTGTAGCCACCACAGTGGTTATAATTATTACACCTAAACAATTTATTAAAATTCAAATTATTATTTTTAGAATTAATAAATTAAAATACTTCCTTTATATACACATAGCCCCCGTCTCGTTCTATAATAGAGAGAGGTGTTTATTCAAGAAAAAACTGATTAATTTGTGATAAATATGAGATTCATTCTCAACCACAAATCAATGGATAAGTTAGAAAACTAATATTTTTGTTAACTTGACTTAAAATTATAATTAAAGAATGCGTTTTAGGTATTTTAAATTTTTTATATCTCCCCTATCTTTATCTCTTACCTTTGGCCTCCGACGAACACCATGTGATACCCAAAATACACCAAGATATACAATGTGATACCCAAAACACACCAAGTAAACTTTGAGGCCACTGTAATACCAACTGTGGTACCACTGTGATACTAGGTGTCGGAAATGCTCACAGGTGGGTGTTTAGTGGTCGATCATCGAAGACGACGTATTGGACAGACAAGATGACCGGAGGAGGTCGCGGGAGTGGTGGTTGGTGCTAGAGAAGACCATCGGATTTGGTCCGTGTGTGTGTGTATATATATATAATCAATTTCTTATTTAAGCTAAAATCAAACTCCATATATAATTAGCATTAAAATCAATATAATACAAATCTTTTATTTTACATAATTTTATTAAGACCTCTTATTTTAGAATTTTTTATAAAAAAACCAAACTATGAACTGTTTAAAACAAATCTAAAAAGTTGAACAAGTTAAATAAAAAATAATAATAAATCAATCAGACTCTTATGTATCTGGAATGATCATAATATTATCTATTATTGTTCCACTTTGTGCAATTGCATGTAGAAAAAGAAGGTTTTAAGGAGGTTTTTGGTCAATGATGCAAATAAGTATATTATGACTAATATGAGCAAATTGCAAAAATATTCAACAATTATATCAAAGTAGGTAACAACACAATGTTTGCTTGGTGAATATAAATATTTTATGAGAATATATGTAGGAGATAAATTGATATGTATTATAACAAAACAATTCTCATAATACACCTCATGATTATAATCAATATTTTGACATATTTTTTTAATGATTTTAAACCAATTACAAAGTTTGATATAATAAAAGATTGATATATAAAACTTATTAATATATATATATATATAAATATATATATATATATACAAAGAACAATCAATAATGATAAGGTGAATTCATATATTAAAGTAATTATTGATTCTTATTAATTTAATATGTAAATGTAATTATCGACTCATTTAGTTAACTTAAATAATTTTAAAAAAATTACTGTTATCGTGCAATGTACGATTTCAAACACTAGTTTTAATATATTATACCAACATATACCAACCGAAAAAATTTGATTGACGATGATATAAAATCTTATGTACCACACATTGTATGAAAGAAAAAAAAACATGATTCTTTCCAATATATATATATATATATGGAAAATAAATATTTGTATTTATAATTGTAGACAATATAAGTGCATACGTACGTAATAATGATATAAAATATTTTCTAAAAAAAGTAATTATGAATGGGGATGCGTGCTCTTGCAACAACCATTCTCTCTCTTTCTTGAAAATCCACCTCCTATATTCCCTCCCCTCTCTCTTATTTTCTGCAATCTTTGAATAAAACTCTTCAATCTCTCTTCCAAACTCACTCTAATCCAAACCCATTCTTGCACCGTAATCAAACCCCAACAAACAAGAACCAGATTTTGTAGAGTTGTTGAACAATGTCTCAAGAACAAGTTCGATACAGAAAGCCCAAGAATCATACAGATCCACTCAACTCATCGATAATCCAATCAACACGTTCTAAATCCACAATTTCATCGCTTCTGTCCACATTTACCCCCAACGCCACACCCACCGACGATTCCGACACCACTACCAAGAAGAAATACTTCACATCTACAAGATTTAGGGGC